CCCCCCCCCCCCCGCCCCGCACAGACCACGCACCCTTTCCCTTCCACCGCTTACGTCGCAAGAGACGTCACAATGCGCATAACAGTGGAAGCCCTTCACGTTAGGAAGCAGGACCCCGGGTAGGAGGAGGACGGGGGGGGGGGAGACAAAAGGGAGCACTACATAAATTTAATGCGGGTCGCAAAGGGGCGGCAACCTCAGCCACAACTCCGAGGAAGACAAGCTACCCAGCTTGGCCCACGCCCGCCCTTACTGGCTGCCCTCTCGGAACGTCCCCGGCTTTCTGAGAATTCCCCCACCCGTGTTGTTGTGAGTCCCCAACGGACTCTTCCCCCCCACCCCCTCCCCCGCCAGACTTCTAGGATCCGAACTCCGCCCCGGGCTGGGTGGCGTTACCTAAGCAGCAGCCATTAGCCGGGGCTGGCACTGCTTGTTTGTTTGTTTGCTCCCTTGGCCAATTGGGGAGGGGAGCCTGTCACCACCCCGAGCTCCTCCTCCTCCTCCTCCTCCCCGCCGCAAGCAGCCACGCACCTCATATAGCGTTTCCTCAGCCAGCAGTCGCCGGTTAGGCGCAGGCAATTGGAGGAAGAGCGGAGGAAGCCGGGGGGTGATCGAGCAGTGGGAGGGAAACAAAAAAAGGAGGAAAAAAAAAGCCGGCGCGGCGAGAGTCCCGGAAGGGCAGGCAGCTCCGCCGGTTTCTCGTCTGAGAGCTGCTCCGAGTCTCCTCTTTGCCTTGCCCGCGGACACCTTGCTGGGTTCGGCCGCTCTCCCGTTCCCCAGCCGTGATCTCCCCCCCCCCTCTCCACCACCACACGCGCCTCCTCCCGGGCGTGCGACTAGCTGGTGGCGGGGAGGCGAGGAGATGTACCCGCCGGACTCCACCTGGAATATCTCCTTCGCCGGCTGCGGATTCCTCGGGGTCTACCACGTCGGTGTGGCCAGTTGCCTTCAAGAGCATGCCCCCTTCTTGGTGGCGAATGCCAAAAAGGTTTATGGCGCTTCGGCCGGAGCCCTGACGGCTACAGCCCTTGTTTCGGGGGCCTGCCTAGGTAAGGGAGCTCGGGGGTCATCTTTTCTACCCGGGTAGGGTGGGTGGGGTGGGGGGAAATAGTGAAATCCCTTGTTATTTGAGGGGCAGCTTCCCTCTTTCCTTTCCTACTCCTGGACGCTGTCAAAAGACCACAATCCCGCAGCTCCCCCCCACCCCCCTCCAGTATGCCGTTGCTATCTCACGTGTTGGATCGGGAGGGAATCGATTTAGGAAAAAATCTGCTGTACCTTTAGTGCTGAAATATGAAGGGCTTGTGATCCACAAGGCTGATGCTTGTGAATCACAACAGAGGAAGGGCGGGGAGGGGGGGCAACGTTTTAGTGGCGCTTACACTTCTTAACCCAGCTTATTATTAAAAGACAAGTTTGGCTGGGTTCACACTGTCGCATGTTACACACCACATAACATGTTCTCGGACTAATAAACCAGAAGTAAGCAAATTATATTTTATACATTATAATTATTAAGAATTGATAGTGGAGTCTTAACTATTGAGTCAGACCATTGCAATGCCCAATGCAGTGCTGTATGTTAAAAAGGTTATTTGCTGTGCTTTGATATATGCTATGATTCCTGCTCTTACACAAATCGTTGTATTATTTGAGGGAGAGAATGGAATGTATACATACATGCACAGGGTTTAATTCCTCAGATCTGGTTATGGGACATGTACACTGTTATAGTTATTTTATCTCAAAAGGAGATAGGTGGGAAAGAATAAATGCTCTTCCAAATGTCCAAACTGATTTATGTGGTTTCTTCCCCAAACCATGTGGTTTCTTCCCCAAACCCCAAAAACTTTAACCTTAGACTGTCTACTATTGACCTCACCCCTTTCCTAAGAGGTCTGTAGGGGGCATGCATAAGCACACCAACGTGCCTGCCTACCGTCCCTGTCCTATTGTTTCTTTGATTTTTCTTATATGTATCCATTTCATGTATTCATAACTATGTTTATTCTTATACCTATTATCTGGTAAGCAATTGACAAATCAAATTAAAATAAAAAAAAAAGATTTACTTGTGCTAATGATAGATTCCTGTTAAATGTTGTTGTAGACTGTTCATTGTATCCAGCCTCTAAGGAAACAAATGTATGCCACAAGTTATTACATGATGTTTTCTCCCACAGAACATGATTCTTCTTCATTTTTGCTAAGGTCAGGAATACAAAAAGATTTCATATTTCTTGTTTTAAATCATTTAAGGATTGCTTCCAAGCTTTTCCCAGCAGGCAGCAAGAATTATAGATGCTTTCTTCATTTCAAGGGTAGTTTCTTTCTTTCACTTTGCAATTTCTCCTTGTAATTTCACTAAACATAAACTAAAGGAGAGTTTTACTTTGCAGTGGTTACTTAGTAGGAGCTAGAAATAGATGGTGGAAATTATGTGTTTGTGTATTTGGGGTCTATCTATCCTAAAGTGTTCCTAAAGTTTTATTGTTTGTTAAGTTCAATTCCTTTCTTCACCCTTGATGTTTTCTGCCATATTTCCCAGAGAGCCTTTAACCGTAGTCCTATATATCCTGACGTATATAGTACAAATTTTAGTAGATATTTTTAAAAATGTAGATGTTTGCTTCCTGGAATTATTCAGTTTTGTAGGGCTGTAGTTCAATAGGCCCAGGAACAATATGGGAATGAATGTGCAAATTATATGAAGGGGTTCTATAGCCAGTTTTTTCCATTTTTTTTTAACATTGTGGTTGGCACCATGATATGGTGGAGAGAGGAGAATTTAGGCCTGTTCACCTCCACCTTTTTTCCCTTAGAAACATTATATAACATTACATAAGTGAGTCTCCAGTTGTCTTCTCTTCTTCCAGTGCCTCCAGGGGAGGGATCACAAGCATTTGCAGACAAAAAGGAAGATATATAAAAAAAGGCTTCAAACTTCTTCACAACTGAAGACATTGAGGTTGTTAGTTAATGTCTGGATGAGACTGGTGAATGGATATATCCACATTGCTTTTGAAAGAACTGGGTACAGTACTTACTTATAGTTAATATTTTTATAGTTCAAAATCTTATGTTTATATGTCTCTCTTTGCTTTGAGAGAAAGATGAGGTAGACCTAACAAACATTGAGTATCTTGGTGAAGAATTCAGTCTTTCTTTTTATGAAAAGAATAGATTTATTTTGAAGGTTACTAGCAAGATCTGTAGCTTGATTTTTGAGAAGTTTCTTGGTTACATTTCCAGGCACTATTATCCCCTTCTAAAACAACTGCTTGTGAACTTTTGCCTCTTTCTCCCATGGCCACTGCTATGTTTTGGAATTACTGGATGTTCTATTTTTTCCTTGGATGTAGTTAGCTTCCAACCTGCTGACAAATTGCCCATTTGTCATAGAATACTCTGGAAGGTTTGATGCTAATGTGTGATCCTTCTAGTGTAAGGGGAAGGCTACAAATATAGAACAAAGTATTTTGACTTTCCCCCCCCCCCCCCCCCCCATAATTTTGAGAATTATTAAAGGACATGAAATTATAAGGGAGAGGTTCAAGTAGGATATTCGTTCCTTGTATACTTCTATGGGACATACTGCAATTCACAGAAAATTTATTCTGAAGTCTTCTGTTGTTTCTTGGTATTCTAATTTCCTTTGTTATAAAGAAGCTGCAGAAGGGAATCTTGACAAGCACAAAAGCATCTTGAATTCATGATTCCAGAAAAAATGCAGAGAAAGGCATTATTCACAATGGCATAATAAATAATGCCCTATTAAATGTATTACATTAAATGTATTGTGGAAAAACCTCTTTGAGCATAGTGGCTAATGGGTTAATTATTATTGATTTCATACTGTTTTTCCTACCAGGTAGAGCTTAGAAAAGCTCTCAAAATCTGGAATACATATAGAGAGGAAAGCCCAATAAGAATATTGCTTCCTTGGAAATATTTATAATCCGTAATATCTTGGTGACATTGTAGCCCAGGAGTTAAATTCTTCAGCAAATGCTATGAGAAAAACCCTGTTTTGGACTTTCCCCTGAAGCTTTCTAGTATATGGACTAACCATATTTATGATTTAAAAGGAGTGTGTCATTAAATGGGGCAATCACCAAGAGAGTCCTCTCCTATGGGCCAAGCCCATAGATAAAACCATGAGCAAGGCCTGTCCGTCTGATTTAATCCATGGTATTAGAATTGATCTTTAAAGGATTTAGCCAGTGAAACAGCCCTGAATTGCCCCCCCCCCCTTTGTAGGCAGTCTGTGTCTACAAGTTTTAAGAATCAATGTAACATGGTCTCCCTTAGCAGCCCCATTTACCTATTTAGCAGATTGCATTATTTTGTAGCTTCTAAATTGTCTTGTAAACAAACCCAGTGAAGCAAATGCAACAATCCAGTTAATAAGATTATGAGGGCAGGAATTATGGTGGTTAACCTAGCTTGGCCTAGGTAAAAAGAGTTATCTAACTCTTTTTATTGCCTTGGGCAAACCATTCTATTGATTTTAACATTTAATATATTATATTAAATATTACCTGCATTTACATTTCTGGAGAAAGATTGTTCAGCCTGAAATGCCAGTTGTGACCTACTTTATTTACCAGAAAGCATGTTGCACTGTGATAGGCAAGTGATTTCATTGATCTTGATAAAATCCATGTCATCATCTTAATCATTATTATATTTTGTTATTGCTCAATTTACAAAGAAGACAGGTGAGCTCCTGTTGCCTTTGATGGGAATGGAGGGTCTTGGGTATGATGGGGGAGTTTTCTCAGAACAGAGAAGAATTAATTTACCTGTTTCCTATCTCTTCCACCTGCCAGGACTGAGTGCAAGTGCTGAGCAAGCAGAGGGTGGAAACTTGCCAAAACAGCCTCACCTGTCCAGTATCTAGGAAAAGTCAGGTCTAAGGAGTTTTCTTCTCCAGAATTGTTTATCCATCTTGGTTGAATATTGAAGCTTGCGAAAAAGGAGAGGGAATTGGCCTTTGCAAATAGGAATGGCTTACCTCAGGGATGTCCAACCTTGGCAATTTTAAGACTTGTGGATTTCAACTCCCAGAATTCCCCAGCTAGCCAATTCTGGAAGTTGAAGTCCACAAGTTGCCAAGGTCCAGTTTACATGATGTACCATTAATGCAGAACTGGAAACATTCTTAAATGGCTACTCTGTGGTTGATATGTTTACTTTCTCCAAGCCTTGTTCTGTACATTTAAAATTTTAGTATGTTAATGTTTAGTAATTATTTTCATAATGATTGTTTAATAGTTTTATTCAATTGTATGTCATCCAGAGTTGCCGATTGTGAGATGGGCAGTTGAATAAATTTGACAGATAAATAAATGCAGCAATCTCATATGTTACCTAATTGCTGCAGTACTGCTTAAAATAGTAGGGAACATGTATGTACATCCCATTGCTCATATGAACTACAACTTCTGTCATTCCCAAAGTGTTAGGTTGCTGGGGGTGATTAGAGATATAGTTGGTAATGTTATCTAAAAGCATTAGCTTGGAATGTGACATTAAATTCAATACTCACAAACATATCTTTTAAAAGCATGTGGCATCTGAACTGAATGCGGTGAGATCTGAAGTTGTTGTTTTCCTAGTATTGTCCCATGAAGATATAGTGTCTGCTTGTTTTTGTATTGCACATTTCTGGTTTACAGGGAAGCTGTCAATCCATATATGTCAGTCATTTTGATGAAGAGTCTGACTGTCCCAAGATCAACCAGCTGGTTTTCTGTGCCTGAGGGGAATTAGAATCTGTGTCTCCTCACTCCTAGTCCAACAATTTAAACTGTGCTGTCTTTAATGAGAGGTGAAGCATGTACATAAATATGACTAGGGAAAGGTATTAGCAAGAGTTAAGGCTAAGCCAAGTAACTAACATTAGGAACCTGAAGAGTGAGATCCCTAATGAAGTAGCTTCATTTTATTTTTCTAAGTTGCATATGTGGGATGCAATGTAATTTCCCAATGAGGAACACAAGTAACTATTGGATATTTACTTGCATGTTTTTGAGATGCTGCAATA